GAGCCACCTCCCCAGCCCCTAAAGTTTCTACTCTTAGAAGACCTTTATCCTTTAAGCTTATATGGTTAGATATGTATAAAAAGAAAAATGAGCAGGGCACCTGTGGCTCATGCCTGTAGTCCTAGCTACTCAGGAGGCTGAGATCTGAGGATTGTGACTCAAAACTAGCCCAGGCAGGAAAGTTCCTGAGATTCATTGTCAGTTAACCACCAGAAAACTGGAAGTGGTGATATGGCTCAAAGTGGTAGAACACTAGCCTTGAGTGAAAAAGCTCAGGGACAGTGCCTAGGCCCTGAGTTCAAGCCTCATGATTGAACCCCTCCCCTCCACCCAAAAAATAAGATTGCAGAGAGAGTGGAAATCTGCTGGTAGACAGAGATGACCAAATGTACATTCATTGCTTGGAATTGGAAGGAACCCAGCAGACTGATCAAGAGGCAAGATAGCATGTTCCTCCAATTGAACGTGATAATTCAGAGTATTATTAAACAATAAATTGAGAGAAGTCATTTGCAGTACATGTGACAGAAAGCTAATAGAAAATAACAAGAGCAGGTAGGGGACTAGGACTATGTGGCTTAGTGGTAGATTGCTTGCCTAGCATGCATGAGCCCCAGGTTTGATTTTTCAGCACCACATAAACAGAAAAAGCCAGAAGTGGTGCTGTGGCTCATGTGATATAGTGCTAGCCTTGAGCAAAAGAAGTCCAGGGACAGTGCCTAAGCCCTGTGTTCAAGCTCTAGGACTGGCAAAAGAAAGAGAGAGAGAAGGTAGGCATGAAACAATGCTCAAGCTGTACTAGAATTTCAGGAGTTGGATGTTAAAATGGCAGTACGGACTGTTACTTTCCCACCAGGAAGGAAAAAGTAAAAGGTATACAAACCTCTAATGTGTACACAAGAAAAGGACAGTCCCATCTTGGTGCAGTGGGAATGTGAATTGGCACAGTCTTCCTAAGAGGGATTTGACAGTGTTTACTGAAGTTTAAAATGTCTTTTGCCCCAGTAATTCTAAATACTCTGAACTATAGTAGTTGTTATGGTGTGAACCAAATGACATAAAGTGTTCATTGTACCTAAAAACATGCAAAACACTGTTTAGATACAGAGATGTTCATGCAAGATTTATTTATTTTTGTCAGTCATGGGGCTTGAACTCTGGGCTGGTCTTCTGGTGGTTTATTGGAGATAAGAGTTTCATGGACTTTCCTGCCAGAGCTGGCTTTAAACCATAATCCTCAGATCTCAGCCTCCTGAGTAGCTAGGATTACAGGTGTGAGCCACCAGAGCCTGGCTTCATAACAATGTAACTTAGAAACAACCCAAATGGTCCCTCAAGTTTTGGCATATCCATGCTGTGAAACACTGTATAGCCATTAAAAAGATTTGAGCCACTTGCCCATGTAATTGTAATCCCTCTGTACGGTATTTTCACAATAAAAAATATATAAAAATAAATAAAAAAAGATTTGAGCCAGAGTTAGGTGTGTTAACATCAGGAAAAGATGATCTGAGATGGAAATTCAGAGGACAAGTAGTAAAACACAGGTAGGCTTCACTTTAGGAGATAAACATATAGAACACATACAAACATGTAGAAAAGGGACAAAATGGAAATGAGAGGGGTCCTGAAAAGTCATTTTCATTAGGGGGAGCAGTACTAAGGGAAGCTGAACTTGCGACCTTGCACTTGCTAGGCAGGCACTCCCCCATGCGAGCTATGCTCTCAGCCCTTTTGCTTTAGTTAGCTTTCAGATAGGATCTACAATCCTACCCCTGCCTCCTGCACAGCTCAGGTTAAGGGTGTAAATCACCATACCTGGCAAGGGTCTTTTTACAGAAGTTACCACACATGTGCCTTAAAAAGGCAACTTTTAAAAGCTGTAACAGAACTTTACCCTGCACCGAAGTATATATAGATGTGGACTTTTTTTTTTTTTTTTTGGTTCGGTCATGGGACCTGAACTCTGGGCCTGGGCGCTGTCCCTGAGCTCTTCAGCTCAGCGCAAGTGCTTTACCATTTGAGCCACAGCACCACTTCCGGCTTTTTCTGCTTATGTAGTGATGAGGAATTGAACCCAGGGCCTCAAACATGAAAGGCAAGCCTTCTACCACTGAGCCACCTTCCCAGCCTAATAGCTGTGGACTTTTATAAATTCTTCTTGGTTATGTGGAATCAGAAGAGTGATATTACCTTTAATGAATGACTTCCATTTGACAAATTACTGTAGATGTTTGGGCATTTGGTATTGGGATGTCAGTATCTGAAATGTTTATGGGTATTCTGTTGAGCACTTGTTACCTGATAGTCTTGACATGTTTTTTTAAAGTCTAAAAGCAGATTAGTATTGTTCGAAGTATAGCTTGGTGGTAGAGAACTTGCCTAGCATGTGTGTGTCCCTGGGTTTTATCTTTGGCACAAGTGGATTTCCATCTCAGATTCATCTTTTCCTGATGTTAACACACCTAACTCTGGCTCAAATCTTTTTTTATTTATTTTTGTTTATTTTTTATTGTGAAAATACCATACAGAGGGATTACAATTACATGGGCAAGTGGCTCAAATCTTTTTAATGGCTATACAGTGTTTCACAGCAGGTAGATAGGTAAGTAGATAGAAAGACAGACAAATAGATAGATTACTGACTTAGTAGCAGATACTCTATACCATCCTTCCTAGAGATTGCTACCTCCTCTCCTCCTGTCTTGAGTTGGGACCCTGCTTTCCTGTGAGGACTGACAACTTTACAGATTCATAGGGAAAGGCTGCTCCTTGCTAGTCAGGTTCCAGCATACTGATTCTATATCAAGAAGTACTTGCTTCCTGAACTCTCCTCTACTCTGCTTGCTTGGGCAAAGGGAGACTTCACCCTCTAGCTGGTAGAGCCCCGAGCATTTTGTCTTCATAGTTATAGAGACACCATTGGATTTAAATTCTTCAAAGTGCTCTCTCAAAATACCATGCAATGAGAATTTGTCCCATGACAAGAAGCTAAGATGAATTTCATTTTCTTTTTTTTTTTTTGTTGGTTGTGGGGCTTGAACTCTGGGCCTGGGCGCTGTCCCTCAGCTCTTCAGCTCAAGGCGAGCGCTCTACAGCTTGAGCCACAGCGCCACTTCCGGTTTCCTAGTGGTTTATTGGAGATAGGAGTCTCACAGTCTTTCCTGCCCAGGCTGGCTTTGAACTGCGATCCTCAGATCTCAGCCTCCTGAGTAGCTAGGATGATAGGTGTGAGCCACCGGCGCCCGGTTTGAATTTCATTTTTTTTGGGGGGGGGGTCCAGTCGTGGGGCCTGAACTCTGGGCCTGGGCTCTGTCCCTCAGCTCTTCAGCTCAAGGCTAGCACTCTACCACTTGAGCCACAGCGCCACTTCCGGCTTTTTTCTTTTTTCTTTTGTGGTGCTGAGGAATTGAACCCAGGGCTTCAGGCATGCAAGGCAAGCGCTCTACCACTGAGCCACCTTCCCAGCCCCGAATTTCATTTTCTTTTGTCCATGTGTTATTCATTTATTCAGCAAATGTCTTCTGGTCCTTGCTTTGTGTGTGTGAAACCCAGTGCCTAGCATAGGGAAAACAAAGTGGAGTCAGGCATGACCTTGCTTCAGGGCAGGATCCAGATTATCATAGTGTGTCTATACAAGTGTGTAAGAGAAGCTAGGGCAGATGCCAGCATGATGCAAGTTCCATGCTGTGGGTGCTGGACGAGTCCACTGCACGAGGAGAAGGTGTGTAGAGGTGACCTCCCAGAGGTCAAAGACATTGATCAGAGGTATCATAGTTCTTGTTTTTTACTAAAGGAATGCTAAAAATAGGACAAAACCCAAAATGCCACTAGAATAAGCTCTTCAAGTTTTGCTCATCCATATCCTTTAAGTTTTTAATAAAATATTGGAAGGAACCATACAGCAAACCAATTGGAAATCTCTCAAGATGTCAGCAAACCTGCAGTATGAGCCTTCTGCTCCCATGTCTTTCTGGGCTTGTGTTCTTCACCTTTCAGCATCCATTCATGTTCCACAGTGTTGTAAATGACTTCAATGTAGACATTCTTGTGCAGTACACACTTACTAAAATGTGTAATGATGCTAATGAGCGTGGTGGTTCACTGCTATAATCCCAGAGCTAGAGAGAGAGAGGCAGGAGGATCAAAAGTTCACGGCCAGAGCCTGGGGGGGATAACTCAACTGGTATATTACCAGCTTTGCAGGTGGAGGCCCTGTGTTTAGACCCCAGTACTACCAAAGACAAATGTCCTCCACAAGTCCAGCCTGAGCTATATACTGTTTAAAAAACAATCATGCTGCATGATGGATCCAAAAGAGAGTTTTTAAAGATCTTAATATAACCCAGAAATGCCAAGCTCATGTGGCATATACTAGTCATTTTGGGAGGTCATGCCTTTATTCCAGAAGATGAGGTTCTTCTACTCAGACCCTACCTAAGCTAGTATCCTCAGCTGACTCCTTGTCCCCATATCAGAGTAACTTGGGACTCCATCATCAAAAGATTGGTGACTTTGGAGAAACTGGGATTTATGTTGTATTGATGGTGCTGGAAACTGAGCCCAGGTCTGCATTCATGCTAGGCAAGCACTCCACTCCTGAGCCATATTCCTTGCTTAGGAGGTACTGTTTGAACATGGAAAGGAAGACCTGGAGGTAAAGGCAAGTTTTAACACTAATGAGCACAGTTACTGAAAAATTGATCCCTACTTAAGAGGAAACATTTGAGAAGTATAACGCTCACAGTAGGATACCTGTGCTGGTAAGGTGGATGCCTATGATGACGTCACTTTCCTAGTGATTAGTTCCTCTCAGAAGGAACAGTTACAAAATAAATGAAAGAAAACCAGAAACTACTCATGTTCACTACAGTTGCCTCCACATCTGGGTCTTGAACCCTCACATACCCATTTCCCCATCTGCATTTCTGTGTTGTGATGGTGGGGGTCAGTCATAAAGCTCTCCAGGCTTTTCTAACACTTTTTTTCTGTTTCTTTAGGTATTTCTGGGAAAAGCCAGCTTCTGTTTGCACTGGTCTTCACAACTCGTTACCTGGATCTTTTTACTTCATTTATTTCGTTATATAATACATCTATGAAGGTATGGTAATGGTAAACAGAAATGGAAACCTATAGAAACTGCTAATGTATGTAGGCTGTGTGCTGTTCCTAAAACTTTTTAGGCCCCCCTGTATGCATGGCTGGGAATAATTACTCTGTTTCAGAAAGTACTTTGGGCTTAAGAGACATTTAGCTTGAAGTTCCTTAAGTATGATACATCTTTTAAAGCTCCTGATAACCCAGTAAGAAAGAGGGATGACAGTGGAACAGTGGGGAATTACAGACCTCCTAGGACGGTGAGTATATAACAAGAAATAAAAGGTGCAGTGTCTCATTTTGCAATGTGTGAGGCACTGTAGCGTAGGCTGCTGCTGCTGCTTCCCTGTTTCCACTTAGTTTTTTTGTTTGTTTGTTTTTTTGGTCGGCCGGGGGGCTTGAACTCTGGGCCTGGGCGCTGTCCCTCAGCCCTTCAGCTCAAGGCGAGCGCTCTACCACTTGAGCTACAGCACCACTTCCGGTTTTCTGGTGGTTTATTGGAGATAGGAGTCTCACGGTCTCTCCTGCCC